CAAACTCCGCCTACTTCGGTGCGTGCCCCGCCCACCAATAGCATTTGGCCCCCTTCCTTTCGCCGACCTCTACCCCTTTTTCACCGGTCTCTGGGACCTCTTGGAACCAAATTACGACACTTTTGGCAAACTCCGCCCACTTAGGTGCGTGCTCCGCCCACTAATAGCAGTTGACCTCTTTTCCCTCGCCAACCTCTAACCCGTTTTTCCCTATCTCCAGGACTTCTTGGAGCCGAGTTATGAATTTTCGTCGCAAACTCCGCCCACTTTGGTCAAGTTCCGCCCACCGATATGAATTTTCGTCGCAAACTCCGCCCACTTTGGTCAAGCCCCGCCCACCATGACAGCTGGCCTCCACTCCTCCACCCACCTCTATCCACCTTTTTCCGGCTCTTTAAGACTTCCCCGGCCCGAATTATGAGGACTTGTAGAAAATGCTGTACACTTCAGAGCGCGCTCCGCCCATTGTGGGCGGGCCTCCGCCCACGTCATGTATGCTGGGAACACCTTAGACATTGCTCCCTACACCAATTTGTTTTCTGCTCTGTAGGCTTTCTCCCAACCGAGTTATGAAATTTTTCATAAAGCACTGCTTTTTTGGAGAACGCCCCGCCCACCGGGGGTGGGTCTCCCTAATTCGATGTGACTTACCAATGCACACCTTTACCCACTTTTTGGCCCAGTTTCGAGGTTGTTTTGTCACTGAAATGAAATCTTGGTCTTCAGTACAGTTCATTTCGACGCACGCCACGCCCACTGTGGGCGGGGCTCCGCTTAGCTGATGTGTGTTTTGTATTTCGTGAGACCTTGCCCACCCATCCCACACTTGACCCGGTCCCTCCAGGCGGATCCCGAGGAGCTAGGGAATTTCGTGACAGACATACAGAACGACAGACAGACAGACAGACGACAGACGAAGCGCTTTATAGTAAGTAGGATAATTCCTTTTTGAATACTTATGTTTAATTTTTGGGAATGAAAACTTTTCGAGTCCCAAAGTATGTAAAAATTCAGATCAACATGAGGCTCCGTCACAGGACAGATTTCACATGACAATTTAGTTAACCGATTCGAGAACCCTGCTCATGGTCGCGTGGGCGTAAAGTGCGCTTTCGAAGATCTATCTTGCTACCATACTCATAACATTTCTGTGCTTTATTTTACGGTGCTATATATGTACGGTTATCCTTAGTTTTCTAGCAACAGCCAGACCGATTGAAAAAAAAGTATAGAACGAGATCGGTCTTTCAGAAAAAAAACTCATTACGATACCCGTTTGTGGAGAGCCAATTTCACAAACTGTTTGTACTATGCCTAGAGTTGGGGAAAACAGGACCATAACGGGCCTCGGACAATTACGCAGGAAAAAACTACAGAAAAGTTGCGAAAGGGTTCTCTTTCTTTTGAAGGATGTAACTTTAGCAAAAAACTCACGTCAACTTCAGCTATGGGTGGATTGACTGGCGCAAATTCATTGGATGAGTACTGCGCATCCGGGCAAGATATCGAAGACGTTAGAGGGATATGTACATCTGATAGTGGAGGAGCGCTAAGTATACGAGCAGGGCGACTCGCTGCTAGCTGATATGCAGCAAAGGCACAGCTTTTCTCTTCAACCGGAGCCCTCTGAACAAGTGAGTACTGTTCAACATGAACTGAGACAGCAAAAGTGATAGGAACAAACCTGGTCACTGAGTTGCTGGATTTGTCCAGAGAATTCCTTCTTGATGACTTCGATAGCATGGAAGACGGCTTCCTTCAAAAATAAGTAACTAAATATCAGTAAAACAAACTAATATTATTGAGTGCTGTCAAAAAACATATGGAGCAAGACTTTATGCTGACTAGATTAACTTTTCGATTGGAACACAGAGAACTGCTCACTTCAGCGCACCTTAGAAGTTTCACGTCTTCACCAAATTTGTGGGAACACTACGCCCGTCCCTTACTAGTCTAAGACAGCATTCTGGTAAGTTCTGTTTCGTGCACCACATCCCAAGCACCGCTCATCCCAAACACACACCTGATCCATACCACAGAACCGTAAAACCATGTCGCAAAAAGTGCCTTAAATACACCAACTTTCACCAATGAACAGATGACCAGTAAAAGCGGCTGTAAATACTAGGCTGGCAAATAATTCACACGTTTTGAGGTACCAGTATTTCGCCTTTACTGTTTTCTTGTTGTTGTTTGACTTAACCACTTTACAGATTAATCCATTAGATCGACGCCACTTGATTGGTACAGTATTGTAATTATTTGCCATTACTCTGGCTCCGACAGCGAAACTCGTACGATTTTCGATTTTCAAAAAGGTTTTCAAGATGAAACAAAGACACAAAAGATGAAACACCGTTAAAATACATAATTTGCAATGAAGAATAACTAAAGGAGTGGTTTTGAAAAGTACATGCTTGCTTGAGAGCAAAACAACTCACCACTCCTAGTTGAGATTCCCAACCAGGTTGTTCGCATTTCAGTTTCTTTTCCAGTTCAGCCAACTGAGCCTTATCACGTTTTCGCTGGTCTTCCATGCGTTTCCTTTCACTGGCTATTAACGAATCCTGCAAAAAGGCATTTAGAAGGAAGTTGTGCCTTTCAAAGTACAGCCGTATCACATAAAGTTATCACAAAAGAGCGTTCTGCTTAAAAATTGTAGGAACAGCGCTGAAAGTTGACCTGTCCTACACTGACTTTTCCTATGTCTAATTCAAACCAGACATTATCAATGGCGATAGATGAATTAATCACCTTGGCAGCCAACTTCCTCTCGAACTCCAATTTCTCCACTTTCCACATACGCTCCCTTTCACGAGCTGCTGCAAGATCTCCTTCCATTCTCCTAAAATTACAAGCTTAAATCTTCTTTCAAAAACGCTGTTATTTATGGAAGATTGATTTAAGTCTCCTGAAATCAATCTTCCATAAATAAAAGCCATTGAAAGGGCTAAGCGTGTTATTAATTTTTCATTTTAATATGCGGCGACGGGGGCCTCCTGTCGGGTGTGCGGCGATAACTGGTAGATAGGCAATAGAGAATTAGAAATACAGCACTATTTCCGGAAGATGCACCACTAAAGTGAGGTAATGAATGCAATAGAATAATACAGATAGTAGATCAAGTTAATTTAAGTTAAACAAATGAAGGGAAATAATTAGCGACTAACTCTGGCACAGGCTGAACTGTAGAGTGAGGGCTGTAAAGGATACGGTAACTAAGAATGTGCTTAGGATGCTTCCCACGCTGGAATGCTGGAGATGAAGGCTGGCGATAACGATGCGAGGGACGAGGAAAGACAGCAACAACGGGACAGGCAGTCGAGATACCCGCGGGGAAGCCGCGAGGTCGTGTCATCCGTCCGGACAGCGCCGCCAGTACCATCGTCCATGCCTATTCTGCCCTGGATAGCCACTTACGCTTTCCTACCTCGAGCGTGATCACCATGTCCTGTTTGTACGCTCAGTGGGCGATAACTTCGCGGTGAATTCAGTGTTCCAGTTCTGTTCATCTTATCAGTTGTCTAATAAATCTATTACACTCTTGTCTCTCATATGGGCCAGCACTTACTCTGTGCAGAAGGCAATAATGTTCTGCCCGAACAGTGATGAAGAGTGATAGAACGCGCAGGTGACAAAATGTTTTTTATGTGTGTTTTCTCTCGTTTTTCATAAAGTCAACAAAATCATTGCTATCAAAAACCGCGAAGACTTTCCCTACAAGCTGTACACATGCATACACGATTCATGGAGCGATCAGTTACTGAATTTTTGTTCCATGAAGGATTACAGGACGCTGCGTATCTATGAAGGCTTAAGTTAGATGCTTGCGATGAGTCTACCCTCGACATCAAGCAGAACTACGGGGCGCCGAGCTAAGCCTTTGGAGAATTCCCTGATGCCCTGAGGCCCCTAAGCTCTAAGGCCGATGT